AAAGCTCCAAATGGGCATATGTTTTTACACCATCTGAAGTAAGAGCCAACTGAGCATGTGCAGATCTTTGCGTATGGGGACTACTGAAAACTCGATTAATATAGAAAGTGACCGACCTTATCCTTTAATGAGAACGCAGCAAAGTAGGAAACTATATATGCTTAATGACATTTCCCGTTCCTCTCTCCTTCTCTATTTTTTCTATTTTTAAATACAAAACAGTTTCCGTCACTCTGATTAACAGCAAATCTCTGTCTGTATACCAGAATAACAGCCCCCAGTGCAATAACTTGTAAATATAACCACTGAATTTACTCATCTGAAGTTCTTCTATCTATATATTTATTAATGTTGTAGATTTTTAGTTTTTTGCAATATTTTTTTGCTTCCTATTTGCATGCACATAATTTTTCTTGTTGCCCTGGGAGCCACTGTACAGCATCAAATTCCTTGTGTTCAGCATACTTGGCCAGTAATGTTGATGCAAATTCTGAAAATAGCAAAAAAAAAAATTATCTGCAGACAAGGGTGTTAATAATTTAGCTCTTTGACTGCAGGTGCATTACACTCTCACAAAGTTTACCTCATTGTGACATTAAGCACCACAACAGAGTCATCCTGTTTAATGTCACTGAGTCCAAACTTACAAGCTATAAAGTGTTCGATTATGATGGTTACAAAGTCGTAGTGCGTCTTCATGAATCATCTGTTTTTACACCAAAGCTTATATCAAATGTCAGATACCAATGCACGCATACACACTAGTTGGCACTTATTAGAACAGATGCCTCAAGCTCTTCCATTTGTCAGAACAACTGAGGCCATTTTAAATGTTCACATTTACTTATGTCAGTCGTCTGTAAAGCACTTTGAATGGCATTAACCCATATTAAAAGTGCTATACAAATGAAGTTTGACTGATTGATTGAAGTGTGATGGACCCTACATTGCCCAAAGTAGTTAATTTGTCTAATAAAAGTGAAGGCTGCATATGTTCAGTGCAGCTGTTTGTGATATGTCACTGTCCTAAGAAACAGATAAAAATATTTTTCATGTTCAAATGCCTATTACTAGATGAACACATTTCTTTTATTGTTTCTGAATTCACTAAATGCTACCCAGGCATGCATTGTTTTATTAATAGAAGAAAGTGTGGAATCAGGCAGTGAGTGTCCAGTGACGGACCTGATGGTTGATGCTCTAACTTACTGAAAGTGCATAACTGTGAGCTCAACATGATGATATATTTTCCCTGTGACATTTGAATTTGAAGAACTACACTGCCAGAGTTGGTACCAGCCCTGCTATGATATTCAGAAAGTGTGTTTTCTGATAATTCACAGGAAAGGATCCTGTAGACTTGAGCAAATAAATTACAATGTCAGTTGTAAACAACTTACTGCTTATTGGAAATAATATATTCTCAATTATTGAGACTGACACTACACATACTGTTTGTTTACGGATGTTACAAATCTATATGGATGGCTTTAGAAGCAAAATGGAGCAGAAAATAGGAGGCAAAAGTAACAGAGGGAAAACAAATGGTGGGTGTGAAGAAGAGGCTGAGAAACAGAGGGAGGGATATAATGGGATGGAAAAAGTGAGAAAGCAGCAAGGAGGGAGAAGGATTAAAATGGACAGCAGACAGAGAGGCAGAGATAACAGAATAAACCACTCATAAAAGAAAAGAGGAGGATGAAAGACGAGATGAACATGGCTCAGTTGTCTTGCAAGTGATTTGCTCTGTCAGTCAAAGTTGTCTCAAAGCCAGACCTTTGAAAATGTTACAAGTGGATCAAGGTTGCTAACTAGCTAACACCCTCCACTTTTATGCTGCGTGAAATCGAATGTCCTTTTCAATTCTACTCTCTGTCTTTTCTTTTGATGCATTTTAGGCAACCATACAATGAGCTGTAATTTCTACTGCACCAGCATTATAGACTACTAACAGCTAACAATGTTTTTAAAAAGTACCGTTTCATGCACCGTTTAAGATGTTAAAAACATTTCTTTGTGTTTTTGCATCTTTTTCGTTTTCACTCTGGGGGTCAAACTGTGTCGCTACCTGTCGTGTGATTATGAACCATGATGGGTAGCTGATGAAAGACATTCATTCTCTTTGAGCTTCCTTATCTTTGGCTCACTCTTCCTTCCTCTCGGGCCTTTTGGTTTCTCTGTCTTGTTCACTTTCTTGTTTCCCCTCCTCCGCTCTGTCTTGTTCTCCCATGCAGACTTTTGATTCTTCCTGATTTCATGTCAAAGACAAATCATTTATGGTGTTGGGGGTCTCAAAAAAGCCAATTCATTCTCATTGATTAAAAAAAAAATCTCTTTCACCCTTGTTACTTTTTAATTAACAAGTCTGGATTTAGGCCTTTGTGGCAATGCTCTTCCTCAAAATACATACAAATGGATATGTACATAAAATACTTATTACACATCACATGGACTGTGACCGCTTGGGCCAGAGTCAGGGGCGCCGCTAGCAGTTTTGGGCCCTATGAAAAAATTTGAAGTTGGGCCCTCTACCCACAGACTGTGGGCCCCCAAAGTTTGTGGGCCCTTAGAATCGTCCTAACTCTCCCCCCCCTAACGGCGCCCGTGGCCAGAGTCCTCCACCAGGTCTGGAAAAAAATGTTTACAATAATTAACGGTAGGGGAACTGGTAAAAATAAAGTGAATGTAGAGGGTGAAATAAGCATAATTAAAATTAAAATAAATACACACTAAAGGCACAGCTTCTTTAAAACATCTAACTCCACATAATTTAAATACATTTATTATGAAGGCTTATGGCTCAACCTTTGACCCCTCAACTCATGTCCAGTTAAGAGGACGTCAACGTAGGCGTCAGTGGGTCAAGATTTGATACCTTAAAAGCGAAAATAGCTAGTTGTGAATACAAAATGGTGGACATGTATATCATCGAAGGCCAAGTCGGACGTATGGGAGATGGTCAGTGTGGTCACCGACAGTCAGAATGACGTAACCAGCGGCGCTGTTTCTTGACAGTGGTGCCTAAAACTGTTAGCATTTGATAGCCGCAGGCTAGTGTTAGGTAATTTCTTAGTTAGATAGAAATTGATTAGAGATCTGTTGTATTAGAAGATGTTAGTGGAGACAGATTGACTAGCTCAGGCTGTTAACTGTTCAGTAATGTGCTTGCAGTGCAGACTGCAGGCAGGTCAAGGTTACAGGCAAAGAGCTGTTAGTGTCAACTGTAATGCTAGTCTTAATATTTGTCTTAATGTGTAATGTTATGTCAAATTGTTTTAGATACACAACACGAAAACAACAGCCACACACCTTGACTTTTCCTCATGTTTTGGCTAACGTTATAGCCAGCTGCAAAGAGAGACGTCGGTTGACGTTTCTGTGGAGGAGGGGGCGAGCCAACTAAGTGATGATATTGCATAGCAATTCTTGGTTCGGGGTCTTTCCTGTTTCCGGGCTGCTTGGGCAGCCTGGGGGTTGGAAGATCTCTGGACTTTGAAGTGTTAATTCTTGCCTGTGACTCTTTGAATAAACCAGCACGGTTATATTTTTTATATACTCAAGTGGTCTGAGTCGTCCCTCTGAGTTCCTGGTTTGAAAGAACCAGACGAGGCTTTAGAATAGAATAGAGCCTATACTAGGTACGTGGTCACCAAGGGAACAGCTATGGAAGCCCAGGTGCTGAGCCCATCGACAAACAACCGTCCAAGACTGTGTAGCTTACTTACACGTCGCGGGTCTTATGTTAATAGGTCAGCTCGGGTCCAGGTTTTATCTAGAGCTAACTTCTGGTAACGGTTCAGGTCCCATACGGAGCTTTGCAAATGCGGGTTTGCAAAACTGGACCCGTGCAGGACTCTGACTTGGGCATCCTGAACTTTACACTGTGTCGGGATGAATGTTTTTTTTGTTTTTTGTTTTTTTTAACCAATATATTATTCACTGTTAGTTTAAAAAAAGGTACATCTAGTTTTCAGAATAGCCTATGTACAAATTAAAGATTGACAAACTACAATTATGATAATCATTTGTCAGTTTCCCCTTTACTCCTTTCTCAGTACGTATTTCAGTAGACGTTCAGTATACATCCCATAGAGACTCCTGAAAATAGTTGGGGATTTACAATTTGCCATTTTGTCCAACTGGCTTTGGGTTTTTATCCGAGTAAGGGTTTCTTCTTGGAAGAGGCAGAATGTATGGGCATGTTCAGTTTGTTTTCTCATTTGTCATTTTTAGTACATTTATCCCAGAGACAGAGGAGAACAGGATGGTGAAACATTGTGTTTATACTCTTGTAGCCTTTAAATGATTTGCCGTTTTAAAATCAAATTAAAGAGCTACCGTGTGAAAGAATGAGAAGCCGAGAGAGAAAGATTAGGGTTGTGTGTGTCTCACAGTGTGTGTCCACTTTTGTGTGGGAATCGAAGAACAAGTGAGAAAGAGAAGATATTTTGTGTGTGGTAAGTGAAAGGGGGCGCTCAGGGCAGATTTTCCCCAATTCGTCTCACTGATTGTTCACATCAGTCTGTGTCTAATCGCTGGAACGTACATTATCTTAACAAGAAAAGGGCCTTGTTGTCTTTTCCCCCTGTCCCTCAATCCAGTGTTTGTCACACAGTGTTGAGTGGTTGTGTTCAGTGTGAATCAAGGGAAACTGCTCTTTTGACAGTGAACACTCAGAGTGCAATCTGAAATCATATACTACTACTATATGTATGTTTGTACATACAAAAGGTACATGTTGTTAGCTCAAAGATTAGCTTTGTGTCCTTTTAAGAAAAGAAATCTAATTATTAGTAAGAAAAACAGCTTTTACATATTTCTCATCATTATTTTATTTATTTTCTAAACCTCTTTAAGCATGACTTTGGGTTTTTCTTCTACTTACAATATCTACTTACTCTCTCTCCATACTAATAGTATTAAGCCATGCTATGCTTGTCTTCAATGATACCCCTTAATTATGTTTTTCTTTTTGATTGGTCTTATTTTTTCCTTGTCAGAGGCAACTCCTTATGATGACCTTGGGGGAGTGTAAACCATCACATGAGACCTTCTGACCATCGAGTCACCAGTTCAGTTCACCTGACACCAAGAAGCATTATTATTCAAGCAAGGTAAGATGAAACATTGATCTTCTGGGCAAAGTAGCAATTGGAGCAAACTGGAACAAACTGTGATGGCAGGGAAGACAACAGTCTGTTTACGCCTGCAAATTGCTTTCATGTGCAGCCTTCTCTAATAGCTGCAAATGAATGATTATATAAATACAGACAAATAGTTTTTCTAGCATTCCTACCTCCACATTTTTGCGTATCTAAGCTGCGGTATCCACCCTAAGCCTTTGTTTGTCTTGTGATCAAATTTGGCACAACTTTAGCAAAATGAATCCATTTTCGCTGCTATGCGGGTGAAATAATGGGGGTTATTTACTGAGGCTTTCTGGCTCATTTTTGCATGCATTTGTATTTTTACTAAGGAGTCGCAGTTCGGTTTTGCAGCAGAGAAAAAGAAGAAACGTGGCACCACAAGAATTTGGACAAATAAGAAATGTGTATTTTAAAATCAGGGAATGGAAATGTATAGAAATAGCCTCAGCACCTGATTTATCAGCGCTGCGACAGAGGGAGGTGTAGCTGAAATTGAACGTCAGAAGAAAGCAGGTGTAACGTGTGCAGCCCTGCTGTCAGTGTGGCAACTGTTAGTTATCTGAGAGTTAATATGTTTGAGGAGGGAGAGGTTGTTTGTAAATTACATCGCTCACCAGAGGAGAATATGAAGGACTTGTACAGGCTTTCAGCTCAAACTAAGATTCAGTTACTGAACAAAATACAAGATGATTTGACTTGCAGGAGGCAAGTTTGTTGATTTCTTCAACGTATTAAGGATCAGTCCCTATAAACTTAGACTTTCTTCTGTGCTCCCTCTTGGTCCACATGTGCACAGCACAGGCACCACAGCATTTAAAATGAACACAGTTGCAGTTGTGCTCATTTACATCATCAGTAAATATGCTGCTAAAATATAAAATTGCAGTACCCCAATAGTTTGTGCATCTGGTGGTAATTTGCTACAAGTTTAGTAAATATTCCCCAAAATTTCATATGCACATAAAAAGTCAATAGTGGTTTTAATGATAGTTTTTCATGCATTTCACTGTTAAGCACAACATTTTGAAATTGTTCTACAGGGTGATCTTGGATTACACAAACTGGCAACCGAGGAGTTTGCCGATGTGTGATTCTGTGTAATGACCTAAAGATGTCAGGAGATTATCATGTTACATTGTGTGGTATTGGGTTTTTATATAGAAAAAAAGTAAACACCAGAAACAAACAGGTTTGGGGCAGTGATTGATAGATATTTTGTATTTGTGCATCAGAGCATATAGCTGTGTGTGTTCATGGTGCTGGTTTGGCTTTTTAAAAGCCATGCAGTTGTTTTCAGCGTCTCTGGATAAATAGATTAGTCAGATGGAAGTTGGATGGTGCTATACAAGGAATGTTTAGCATCTGACACAAAACCCTGTGCAGTAAAAAATAATTACTCTGCGTTACATTGCTTTCCTGGAGTCCTGTTTTCTTCCATTTTTGTTTCTCTTCTGATTTTTTTGATTTACTTTTCTCACCTCAGCACCTTTTCTTTCCTCTTGCTGTGCTTGTCCGTTTATTCCGTCTCTGATACTCAGGTTACTACTTCTCTTCCTTCCCTTATCCCTTCATTTGTTCCCATTCATTTTTTCTCATACTTTCCTTTTTTTCCCAGGATTCAGTTTGCTTTTCTTTTATCCATTCCCTTTATTACTTCTTTTAGTCTCACTCCTTCTCTTCTAACTTAGACTTATGATTTTCTAACTTTTCTATCTTTGCATTTACCCCAACTCTCTCTCTCTAATGGCCTGCTCTTTGCAGTCTGACCACAATAGTCTCAGTATTTGGATTACTGTAATGGGCCTTACATCACCCTCATATGATCAGCCATCTGGGGCTAGCTGCCTTTTAGCAACCAGTTAGTATCTTCCCAATAGAATTTAGTGAGAGAGCTAAGCTGGAAAAGCACTAATCTCTCAACACCAGCCATTGTTACTGTCCCCACTGGCCTCTGTGCTAAAAGGGGGCTAATTGATGTTGCCGCCTGCTTATTGTAGGCCATGAGAGAAAGCGGATGCTTGTCGTCATGTAGAGGGGAAGTAATGTGGGGCCAAAGAAGGCTGAGTTGGAGGACATTATTTCAGGCCTAAAATTACTGACATCTGGAGGCAAATAAAGGAGGGAAATTGTAGGACTTTGCAATATTATCTTCATTATGTTGTATATTTAAACTACGTTCCACAATCGTTCCTTCCTACTTGATAAAATGTTTCAATGTGCGTACTCTAGCACTTCTTTCCAAAACTTTATGTATTGCAGGAGAGATGGAGGAAGTCCTTCATTTCAGTGAAGGTTGAAGACTTGTTAGCTGATACTTGACAGTTACATTAGAAATCCCATTCTCATCTGTGGCACTCTGCACAAAGACGATTCATTCTTGATTTAGGGTTCTGCGTTGAATCTACGCCGCAGGTCATATGTAGCCTACTATCCTATGCTGTAGCCTGACGTGCACCTCTCCGGAAAGGTAACTGCATGTCATGGCGACTTGAACCACAACAACTGTGATTGGTTGCATCACATTTCCTTGTTCCTGTCTCTGAGTGGCAAAGCACTCCCCCCCACCACTCCACCTCAGTTAGTCCAGTGGTCGTACAGACCATCTCCTCTGACGTCTTCTCTCTTGTCTGTGTTGTAACAATTTCAGTGAAAGTAACTGCTGTTCAACATCTGTTAGTTTCAACTCCAACATGACCCACTCAATTTCAGTCGCCATTGTTTGTAAATGGCGAAGAAATGCAACACAGTGGCATAGACACCCCACTGTGGTTTGGAGGTGTAATTACAGGGAGACACAGACACCAGCACACGAGTATAACGTCTCACAGTGGTGTACGCCGCTTACATAGCCTACGGCGTAGACTCTGTGTAGATTCCTATTACTTCAAAATTGAGAGTCTGGCTTCTGTCTGTGTACTCTGACGTTTTCCAAGCTTATTGTGGTACATAAGGGGTTGGGGCTTTTGCTGTGTGGACCGTCTGTGCCAACACAAACTTTTGGCCTGCACACAGACCCTTGTGGACCTGGGAAGATGGTGAAAATTGTCAATTTACTATAGCAGACGTGCAAAACATGAATAGCCCTTCAGGCTTCGGCTCTTCTGGTATACTTATTAGTTTAATCAATGCACTGATGGTTTTGACATTTTCATGGTGGTTGTTCCTGTTGTCACTGTTTTTCAAATCCAGAGCCGGTGTTGATCAAGCTCAGTCTGACCACAAATATGCTATAGCTTATCAAATTTTGTGTGTTGCTAACAGAGCATCTTTCTGTTTGTGATGTCAGTCTGCTGCATAAGTTGATCTGACTGATTGTCTCAGCAGAGTTGAAGATAGATTGTGTGTGGTGGAGGTGACAGAAAGTTGGATTTTCAACAGCACTGCTTACAAGAACTAACCTCTACCCCAGGATGACAGCAAAGATACATCTGCCATTTTGGTGAAGCATTGTCTTTGTTACCATGGTAGCAAACCCTGCCAGTAACCAGGTTATCACCTACAATATCATTTTTACACACCTATACAGCAGCAACACCATCTGGGCACCGTGGATTGAAAATCTAAGAGAACTGAGAAATGCTTTCTTATCTGTCAGCCTGCAGCACTGCCGGCCACCTGATAACACAAACACACATGAACACACAAACACAGTCATTCTTATGCACAAACACACACCCATGACTTAATGCCAGTGACACATGAATGGCCCCTGCAGTGCCAAATTGATGGTGTGATAATCAAACAAACAGATTAATTATTTTCATCTGGAGTCGCCCAACATGTGTGTGTGTGTGTGTGTGTGTGTGTTGTTGTGTGCATCTGTTTGATTATTTCTGTGTGTATTGCTTGTGTGGGCCATTAATGGGGCCATAACTTTAGCTGTGTCCAGTTTCACTCTATTGTCATCAAACCATACACAGGGTGCAGAGCAACCTGGACAATATGTGGCAGGTTTATCATGGACATATTGTCCATGATAAAACGGCATATAAAGTTTATGAATAAAATAATTAGTACAATAGTTAAAATAAATGCTTAAACCAAATAGGCATAGACTACACGGCATGTACGTCTGTTTTATTGTCCATTGCACATGTCCATGATGTATTGTCATAGTCCAGTTTAGTGGACGGAATGTTCAAGTTAGATGGAGTTTAAAAGTCTCATTGTCTGTAGGAGGAAGCTGTTACACAGACAAGTTGTCCTGGCTTGGATGCTGCGGTATCTTTTTCCAGAGGGCAGCGGAGTAAACCAGCTGTGATGTGGGTGAGAATAATCTCTGGTTATACTTTTGGCTCTGCTTAAGCAGCGTTTGTGATGTCTGTCTGACTGATGAGGGAGGAGACTGTATGCTTTTTGACCAGTTTCTCAAAACATTTAATTATTTTGGAGGTTAGGGCAATGGGGCAGTAGTCATTAAGAGAAGAAACTGTGGACTTCTTTGGGACAGGTCTTATTGGCATTGCTTTTGTTGAAGGTACTGCCGTTAAAGTCTTATCCTTGCTCGGTAATGCACTTAAAAGTCATCAAGATCACAAAATGGCAAACAAAACTTTGCTTTTTAAAAATATGAATAAAGTGTTTTTGGTTTTCATGGACTTTTCTAAGCTGTTGACAGGTGTATGTCAAACTTTGGTTCCAGACACTGGGGTTTGTGTCCCACTGCAAGAATTAAAGGGCTTTCAGATAGGACACGGTATGCGCTGCGCTTGCCGTGGGGGCTGGGCGCAGCACAGGGGAGGAGTGTGCACATGTGCAAATCACGCACATATTGGGCACCAGTTGCTAGGTGACCAAAAAGCTTTCCAGGAGGTGGTTAGCAGATACTAACTGGTTTTTCGAGCAGTGGACTTGGATGCATGATGTGTATCTCTACACGTCAGTGACAAGCTTTGGTTTTAATTGTATTGATGATGAGGAGGAGACAAGCTGCAGCAAAGAAGAAGAGGGTGTGGGTCCGCCAAAAT